ATTATGTACAGAAATACTGTATCTTGAAATGGGAGCTTAGTTGGTGCTGCTTTGCAGTTATTGGTATGGCGGCAGGGGTGCTGCTGCTACTGCTGTGCTTTTGCTGTGACTGGTGGTGATGGTGTTGCCGGTGCTGGTGTGGTGTTGCTTGATATTGGTGTGACGCCTCGCCCGTATTGTCGTACTGATGTGTCCGCACTACTGCTTCCTGCTGCCTGTGCAGAAGTTCAGCACAACGGCGATCTACTACAGTACTATCACCCGGGCGTGTTCACCAGCAACAAGTGGACATGCTGCCACCACAACAGCAGGCTGTCGCTGGGCTGCAAGGCCACGTTCGTCAACCGTCGGAAGCAGGAGGAGCAGCAGCGCGTGGCCATGCAGCAGGACAACATGATGGCGGCGCCGGGCGGGGGCATGGGCCCAGGTCCCTCCGTGCCACCGCCAGCGCGTCCCGGAGTCTCGGCCCCCGGCGTCCCGGGCGCCGCTGTTGGCGGCTACAGTCGCAGTCTTCCGCCAGTACCGAATGCAGGACCGCCGGGCTCAGCCGGCCCTCCGGTCGCTGGTGGACCACACATGAACGGTGTCGGGGGACACCAGCCGCAGCTGCCGTTCCAGGCATCTAACACCTTACCTCAGCCGCCGCAGCAAGCCGCTGCGCAGGTAAATGTGATGGTTGTGCTGAGTGCAGTCGTGGCCGAAGAAATCCGACCCGCGAGTCGAAAGTAAGGCCACGTTTCCGTTTTGGCGTGCACGTTCCGTAAAACCGATCTGAGGAGCGCATGAGCCGTGGGCTTGCTGCTTTCGGCACGTGGGGCGGATTTCTTTGGCCATGACTGTACACGCTCCTCCCCTCTACTCCACCTGAAATCAGGTTACATGTGCTCTGCTGATACGCATTGTGTTTGTTGGCATGGGGGGGGGGGGTGGTAGGTGTTGATGCATGTGAATGTAGAGGTGGGGACAGTAGAAGCAGGCCACACGTCAAGCTGGTACAATAGCTATTATGTACATGCCCTAGACATTCACACACTGACTCATGGTACGCTACCCTGGCGTGCCGAACTGGTGCAGTCCAGGTTCCACTGGAGGACTAAACCCATTCTGTATCAGTGGACTCACAGTCACTGATGTTCCTGCTCTGTATACCCTCCCTCCTACCCACTCTATGTCTCTTTCCTTCTCTCTCTCTCTCTCTCTCTCTCTCTCTCTCTCTCTCTCTCTCTCTCTCTCTCTCTCTCTCTCTCTCTCTCTCTCTCTCCCTCTCTCTCTCCCTCCCTCCCTCTCTCTCTCTCTCTCTCTCTCTCTCTCTCTCTCTCTCTCTCTCTCTCTCTCTCTCTCTCTCTCTCTCTCTCTCTCTCTCTCTCTCTCTCTCTCTCTCTCTCTCTCTCTCTCTCTCTCTCTCTCTCTCTCTCTCTCTCTCTCTCTCTCTCTCTCTCTCTCTCTCTCTCTCTCACACACACACACACACACACACACACACACACACACACACACACACACACACACACACACACACACACACACACACTGCAGGCATCCGGCCGTCAGCCATTCGACGTCATCGCAGTGTATGACTATACATCTCCACAGCAAGGAGATCTCCCTATGAAGAAGGTAAGAGACTGTCACGCATACTGCCGCTTACCTTCATAGCTCAAGAGAGCCGGACAAAGGAATACAATTTTGAAGACTCCAGTGCAGCTGTGCGTATGGCTGCCAGAGTGTACCTTTGCAGCTTAGAGAGCATGTGTGGGCAGACTTGTATGTAGTATCTACCGCCCTTTTGCCAAGTGTGTCTTTGCCGCCACATGAGTCAACCATGAACCGAACGAAGTAGGGATTTTTAAAAACCTTCCGTACATGTTGCATGCTGTGAGCAGGTCAGCCCTGGCAGTGGATCGGGGTGGTGTGTTACATGCTGTGAGCAGGTCTGTCTGCCCTGGCAGTGGATTGGGGTGGTGTGTTACATTTTTTTGTTGAGCTGGGAGACAAGGATATAAAAGGTCTGGTGGTTGTTTTACATATGAAGCGCTCACCGTGTTCACAGATCATATCCAGTTCTAGCTCCTCACACATCCCCGTGTATAAGAAAGTAACCAATGTGTAAATGTGTGTGTGTGCACAATGGACCTGTAGCTGGAAAATAGATACCGGCTGTCGTATCCCTGGCCCTGGAGCATTCTCTGGTGGATTTAGTGTATCATAACTTCGCAACTCAGTCTAGTCCTTCATGTGTGCACTGGCACAGAAACCATTGCACAGAAAGGCAGACTGGGCTGCAGAAATCATACCAGCAGCTGTCAGTCAGAAGTCCCTGACAAGCACTAGAACACTGCTCAAGTGCAGCACATGTGACACCGTGACGAATAAGGCTGTTTCGGCCATATAAAACTATAATGGGTGATCATAAACTGACCATAGCCGTTCCTGTATGCGTGTGATTTCCCAACACAGGGACAACGCTTGACTGTATTTGATGATAGCCGGGAGCACTGGTGGCACGCGCAGAATGCACACGGGTAAGTTGGTCACGGTCAAAGAGAAGTAGCCAAGCTTTCTTCTAGTTGACGGTTGCCATGTCTAGTACACTCATACCTCATGTATGCGGGCGGTCCGGGACCAGGCACTGCCCGTAACTTTGAAATGTCCGTAACTCCGAATGGCATAGATTTTGATGGAGAAAGGCCATAGGTATAGCATATGGTGTCACTATTTCCCCAAAAGTGACAAAAGAGTAGTAATATTTCCACTGAAACTCGCCTGTAGGATGCCATGTAGACCAAAGTGCCCGTAACCTCGGTGTCCGGATAACCAAGGTATGAGTATACTCTGTTGGTGCTGTTGGATTTTTGTGTGCTCTGCATGGCTGTGACAATGAACCTTCACATTCTGCATTGGTTGTTAAAGTTAAATGTCAGAAGCGAATAGAACGTTTAGAATCCCTTGTGTTACTTGCTCAACGGTCAATAGCATGGGCTCGGTGCAAGCACTTCCGTGTGTTGATATTTCCGTCTGTGTGCCTTGCTGTGTGTGTGGGTGTGGGTGTGTGTGTGTGTGTGTTCCTTGCTGTGCTGTGTACCTTGCTGTGTGGCTTTGGCAGTGATGTCGGCTTCATCCCGGCCAACTATGTCCGCCGGATAGGAATTGAGAGTGAAGAATGGTTTCACTCGGACATCACCCGGCAAAGAGCGGAGGCATTGCTTCGAGCTGAGGTGAGCCATGGTGTACAAAATTCAGGTTTCTGCGGTAAATGCCTGTCAGGGGAACAACTGCACTGATAAGGCGCCGATCTTTTCCCAGAGAACCAGATCCAGTGCATGCGATTTCCAGCTATGACTTACATGTATGGCCCTGGATAACAAGACGACCACCCGTGCTTTGTGGATCCCGTGAGCGGTCGGTGTCCGTATAGACCGGTTTCACTGAAGCGGTCATTATTCTTGGAGGTGTTGCATGAACTACTAGCGTGTAGGTTTGCACCTGTCTCTTTCTTTCTTTCTCTCTCTCTCTCTCTCTCTCTCTCTCTCTCTCTCTCTCTCTCTCTCTCTCACTCACTAACTCGCTCTCACTCTATCAATCAATCAATCTATCGATCTATCTTTATATCTCTCTCTCTCTCTCTGACTCTCCCTTTTTCTGCTCTCAGTCCCATGTCGTTGTTAACACGCTTTGTTCTGTGCCGTCATGTCTTCTGCAGAGTAAGGAAGGTACATTCCTGGTTCGCAATTCAAGTAGGGGCGGCATGTATACCTTGTCTGTCTCGTAAGTCCATCAGGATGTGTGTGTGTGCGTGCGTGTGGGTGGGGGTGTGTGGGTGTGCACCTGTGGATTGTGCACCTGTGGATTGTGCACATGTGTGTTTGTGGGAGAGGAAGAGGGGGGGGGGGGGGTGTTACTTGCAAAACGAATACGATGGCTTGTCCACGTGCTTCTGTTGTGTAAAGGCCAGTGTAAGATGTGCAACTCATACCTGCATAGGGAACACAAGTTATGGACAGGTAGTGAAAGACAAAGGTAGCCTGTGTTTCATTCTGGCCATTCGGGTTGGAGACATCTCTTGTTTCGTTGAGCTCAACATCGTGAGGATGGTGTTCGCCTACTCAGAAGGTTGCAAAAGGTCAGAATGTCGTGTAATCTTAGGAAAGCAGTGGTTCAAAAAATGGTAAGGTTGGCAATGGGACTGATTCCATTGGTCAAACCATGCCATTGTCGAGCCATTCACACCTGGACAGGTAGTGCATGAACATAGTAGCAGCAGCTCTGGTAGCGCTATGAAAGAAACACTTAAAAAATTCATGTACATTGAAACCTCGTTAAGAAGAACACTGATAAGACACACTTTTGCTTAAGAAGAACTAGTATTTGTAACTCTATTGGATAAATCACGGTGTATTCACTGAGTATACAATATGGATAAGGAGAACTCCCGTTATTGCGAACAAATCCCGTCGGTCCCCCCTTGGTGTTCGTCCTAAAGAGGTTTGACTATAGTAAGGTTGGCGATGGGATTCAATAGACTGGCATCCCGAAAAGATTGTCTGGGTTCGTGAAAGGGGGCACGCGTGCAAGCCAGCACGTGTGAAGTGCATCGTTTTGTATTCAGTTTGTGTGTGTCAGCTCATGGCGGAGGAGAGAGAGACTTTTGCTCGCCGAGCTGAAGCTAAAGGATTTGATGGAGCCCTGCCAGCAGCTAGTCAAAGGACCTTCGGTACCTTAGGCAGACCCTGACGGAGTTTGGAGGCCAGCTAGCTCTCGGTGAGGAGAGAAACATTCGCGTGGCGATCGACTCTCCGTAAAAAATGCAACCTACATAGCGCCGACGTACTGCAACAGCTACGATTTCAGCTAACTTCTCGATCTGCTGCTTCACAAAGTTCAACTATTTACAAGTCCTGACTGTTGTAGTCTGAAGCTGGAGTCTCATCGCCCACCTACAGGTAGCTTTTGGAGCTGATGGATTTCCCGACTTGGACTCCTTCCGCAAACTCTCGCAACATTACTACAGTGTACTGTGTATGCTGTGTTTCCGCACGCTCGTGTCGACATGTCACCTATACTGTACTGTACATGTACCTGGTCGCGGAGGAGGTTGACGACCTCCGCTGACTCCAGGTTTCCGAAATACTGCCGTCGTCGTCTTTGATGTCGCTGGTGACATTCTCCCCTTGCAGGACGTGCGCATAGTTGTCGTCCCGGGGGTAAAGACTATGTTGTCTTTCGAAATAGTTCTTCATCAAGCTCGCGCGAATGATGTTTCTCATCATGAACTCGTTCCGACGGTGTGACACGGCGATGGTCTTTGGCAGGGCACTGGCTCGGCGAAAACGATATCTTCTTGTGCAATATAACATTGATCGGCTGCAGATGGGTACAGTCACTTCGTGGTTGGTCCTATAGGAGGGCAGCTGCCAGGAAAGAGGCAGGACTCATCGAAGACGAAGCGCTCGCAACAAACAATAGCACTCGAAACATCTCGTAAGATTTAGGGCCTATCGCTTTGAGCCACAGCGCTCACAGCCTTGCCTACTTCATCAAAGTGAGCTCTACATGTTCGTTGACCTCTTCACACTACACAGAAGAGCGAAACAAGGATTATGTCTTAGCATTTCAACTCCCACAGCAGACCATTACCAGTGCGAGAGAGAAAACTACAAAGGGCTTTGCTTTCTGTCGCATCGTCTCTCTTGCATGCAACTAACGAGAAAACCGTGTACTTACCCTCGCATTCACACGCGAACTATCAAACACGTCCTGTGCCGCATGCTGATCAGGTAGTGCCATGTATGTGTTGTACAGTGTACTCTCAGTTGACATGCCCCCTTTCGAACCCAGACAATCTTTTCGGGATTGGTCTATTGGCCACACCCTGCCACTGTCAAGCTCCTAACGTAGCATAATACGACTTTTCTTGGTTCATCTCCCTGAAGCTAGCTAGTCTTGATTAGATTTACCTTAAGATGTACCATTGGATTGTGTTGTTCATGCCCATGTGCTGCTGCTGTTCTGCAGGCATGCTGATGTGGTCCGCCATTACCACATTCGACAAGACGACGACAGAAAATACTACATCTCTGATCGCCATCGGTTCGAGACCATCCCCGAGCTCATCGAGTACCATCAGCTGAACGGTGGAGGTAGGTACAGTACATACCATGACTAATGCCATGACTCATGGCTTGACTCATGGCTTGACTCATGCCATTCTTCTATGCTACAGTACTGTCGATCGCAGAAGAACGGGGGGGGGGGGGGGGGGGGGGGGGCAGCAGCCTCCTAGCCTAGACTGTTCCTATTTTCATGTAGTACAGTCGATACCGACAGTTGAGTCACCGTGTATACATTGATATGCTGTGCTTGGTGAATTTATTTCTAGCCTAGTTGCTCTTCGGAGCTCCGTTCTTCGACAGTACTGTACGGGAGTGCAGTTGAGCATGGTTCACCTGCACGCATTGCCTATGCGTGCAATGCCGGTCAGCGGTGCAGGACACTGTGTCTTGGCATTCCATTATGTTAGGATAATCCATCCAATCTCTGCCGTACTTCAGCATCCTTCACACACGGCATGGATTCTTGTACATGTACATGTGTATTTACTCATCCAAGTTGTTCGAAGAGAAATATCTTGTTCCTTCTCTGGCAACTCCCTGTCTAGGCTAATCGCAGAGCAAAGCAGGAAAGAAAAAGAAAAAAAGGGTTTGTTGACAACCAGGATTCAAACCAACAAGGCCTGGATAATGCTATCTAGCAAAACCGAGGTTCTCAATAACTGGCGTTTGGATACTGAGTGCAGTCTGTTTTGTACAGTCTGTATGCTAACGTGTGTTCTCACTGTTTGCCTGCCCACAGGTCTTGTAACGAGATTGCGTAACCCACCTCGTCTAATGAAACCGCAGGAGCCGCCAACCAGAGGTGAGCCAGAGTCATTAGAAATTTTGAATGCCAATTCGTTGCCTTGGTATTCATGTAATTAGACTACACCAGTCTCACCTGAGGACCGCCGAAAGCAGTTTTTCGATTGGTCCAGTAGTATCATGGCATTGTCACATGATACTTTGTGTATGGTATTGTGGCTACACATGCCCTTCGCAGCAGGACACATGTGCTGGTGGTCAAAAAGTTGGTCCGGTGATATCCTGACCGACTGGACTGGTTCCAACAGGCCTGCACCTCGTATCCTAGTGGATCACTGCGGCAGAGCAATGCTCAATGTGTTCTCTGTATTTCACTTCCTGCTTCTTTCGCAGACAAGTGGGAAATCGACCCTGCAGACCTGAGCTTTGGACGAGAACTGGGCAGCGGTCAGTTTGGTGTTGTCATGGCAGGCAAGTACAAGGGAACAATTGAAGTGGCCATCAAGATGATGAAGGAAGGCACGATGGCGGAAGAAGATTTCATCGACGAAGCTAAGGTCATGAAGTAAGTCGCCGCCCTTCGTATCGCAAATCTACCTTTAGTAATTTTTGCGCCAAAAAGATGCACTATGTTGTGTACCGTGGTGAATGGATGGCATTTGACAACTTACTATTCAAGGTGAAATGTCACTGCAGTAGTCTTGACCTGAACATATGTGTGACTGTGTGTGTGTCTCTGTGCATCTACACCAATATTCACGTTTGCAGGAATTTCCAGCATCCCAACCTGGTGCAGCTCTACGGCGTGGTCACAGTGCAGAGACCTATCTTTATCGTCACCGAGCTCATGTGTAATGGTATGTGCACCCTATATGCTCTACTGGATATCATCACATGACCATGGGGAGTTCCCCGCTACCGTCTTGTGTACAAGCCTGGCTGAAACACAGGAGCCTGTTTTGAGTGTTAAAAAGAGGACCGGTGTGTATCAGCTAAGCCCATTCTTGTTGCGTTGCGGCAACAGCACTGAGGATAAATGCCCATGCACACTCTCTCAGTCCAACACAACCATCACACTCAGGTAGGAATTACAAACTATACTTGATGAAGACAGAAGGAGAAGTGGAGAACACAGGCAACAGAGCAGGCATGTAAACAGCACAGGCACGCAACAGTTACCGCTGGTGCATGCGAGGTGCATGTGCGTACGCGAAGGTGTGAAATAGGAAGCGGGGTCAAATTACACATGGATGTACTATGCCAAATATATAGGCACAGGTAGGTGACTGTACATCTCCCCCCGAAAAAATTCGAATGGCGGGACACGAGAAAGTGCGGAGCAAAGGAGAGAGGGAAGAGAAAAAGAAACGATAGCAGTTCTGAAGCGGGTACCAAAGTGAGCATTACTCAGAATGATAGAGAGAAAAAACATGAAAAGAACACAGTCATAGTTCAACTGGAACACATGGAGTAAACAGTGTTACTGTGTTCAGGCATTGGCAGCATAGCGTTGAGGTGCATGGCGAACACGGTTGGATGGTGGTCTGCGGCCGGGTGGCAAAGGCTTAGCAACTCGAGGAGACTGTGGCACAGGCAGAAGGGGCGGCAGAGTAGAGTCAGCTGGTGGTTGCAGGGCAACATGCACAGGAACAGGAACACCGTAATCAACCTCATACATGGGCTCAATGGAGGAGGATGAGCTGGAGGGATCAGGGCGTTTGGCTGACGCGGATGGCGTGGATGGCGACGATTTCTGCGGACAGATGACCCAGGAGTAAGGTCGATGGTGTACGAGCGTTCGGACAGGCGGTTCTGGACGTGTCCTGTTTTGTCCATATTGGGGACATACACAGGAGCACCAGTGGCAAGAACAGGCAGCATTCGAGCACGGTGGCGTTGATTGTAGCGATCAGCCTTTTGAGACCTGGAAGATATTTCCTTGTCGGCAAGGGCGGTCACATCGGGCTATGCTGGAGCAGGGAGGGGTCCTGGTAGCCGGGAGCGGATTTGTCAGCCGAACAACAGCTGTGACGGTGAATAACCGTTTGCCAATGGCGTAGACTGGTATGCCAAGAGAGCGGAAGGCAAGTCGTCGTTCTTGAGAATGAGCTGCTTGGCTGTCTGAACGGCACGTTCTGCAGCGCCGTTGCTTTGGGCGAAGCGAGGACTTGACGTGCGATGGGCAAACCCAAGCTCGTTAGCAAATGCACTAGCAGATTGTGGACCGTTGTCAGAGACCAGCGTGTGTGGAATACCATGGGTAGAAAACACTAAGTGGAGAGAGGCAATCACAGCGGCAGACGTAGTAGTGGTAAGTTGCTTGACTTCGATGTAGCGCTAGAAGGCGAGGACTCTTGAGGAGCGCGGTATAGGGTCTCGGCAATGACGAGTGATTTGCCAGGCACGTGGGTAGCGGTTGGGCTGTACCTCATCAGCCGCATCAGGAGTCTCTGGCATCGCAGAGGTGAGCGGGCGAGATCGGCGGAGTTGATGAGGGGCACGAGAGGCTTGTGGTCAGTCTCAACTGTGAACTGAGGACCGCCGTAGATGTAGTGGTGGAAATGCTTGCATGCCCAAACGATGGCGAGACGCTTTTTCTCAATCTGGGCATAGCGCTGCTCAGTAGGTGATAGAGAACGGGCCGCATAGGCAACAGGGCGCCAGCGGGAGCCATCGGGCTGCAGGAGGACAGCACCCAGGCCGTAGCTACTGGCATCAGCACTAATACAGACGGGCTGGTCAGGAGAGAACAGTGCCACGCAGGGAGCAGTCGTAGCGAGTTCCTTGAGGCGACAGAAGGCAGTTTCTTGCTGGGTGTCCCACTGCCAGGCGGTGTCGGCCTTCAGGAGAGCACGGAGCGGGGCACTGACATTTGCCATATCTGGCACAAACTTCGACAGAAATGTGAACATACCCAGAGCACGGCGCAACTTGGGCACATTGGTCGGTTACTTCAGAGCTTGGATGGCAGACACCTTGGCTGGGTCTGGGCGGATACTGTCAGCACCGATGAGGTGACCCAGGAATGTCAGGGACTTCATACGGAGGCGACTCTTGGCGGGGTTGAGGAGTACGCCTGCAGAAGCGAGAGCTGCATGGACGGCAGTGAGGGCAGCATCGTGCTCAGCTAGAGTGGCACCGAACATGAGGATGTCGTCCATGAAGACAACCACGTTGGGAATGTTCCCAGCAATGTCCAGTAGGCAACGCTGGAAAACCTCTGGTGCACGGGTGATACCAAAGGGTAGACAGTTGAAGTGAAACCGGCCAAATGGTGTCATGAATGTAGTGAGTGACGCACTGTTGTCAGCAAGAGGCACTCGCCAGAACCCAGATGCCGTGTCAAGCGACGAGAAGACCTTGGCCCCGGACAGCTTACCCAGTGTGTCTTCGATGGTCGGCAGAGTGAAGTGTGCATGCTTCACGGACTGGTTCAGGCGTTTGAGATCCACGCAGATGCGGACTGAGCTATTCTTCTTGAGCACGGGCACCATGGGTGCACACCAGTCGGTCAGATCGGTGACTGGAGAGATGAGTCCCATCTGGACCATCCGGTCAAGCTCGTCTTGACCTTGGCTTGCAAGTGGATGGGGACTCGTCGTGCGGTCTGGCAGTGGTATGGTTGGGCATTGTCTTGCAGCTCGATGGTAGCTGCAGGACCGGACATGTCACCAATGACAGGAGGAGTGGATGGAGGGCTTGCGGATGCCTAGGATACACTGCGGCTCAGGAGGTTGCTGGGGCCATCGACAACAATAACACGGAACGTGACGTTGCGGTCCTTCCAGGAGCTGGCAGCAACACATACACCGTGTATGGGTAGAGGTTGGCCGTCAGGTCCAATGACCTTAGTACGACACTCTTTGGCAAAGTGACCACGACGCTGGCACTTACGGCACTCGACGGACCAAGCAGGACACTCGCGGAGCGAGTGACCATTGGATGAGCCGGAGCAGGGAGCGAGCGGACCTGAGGCTCTGCCACTCTTCAGTCTGCCAGTTCCACGAGATTGTTTATGATGTCCGCGAGCGATAGCGGCGGTGACGGAGGGCTGAGTGGCTAGCTGCATTTCGAGGGTCTCAGCTGCCTTGGCCTCCTTGAGAACATCGGCGAGGGTGAGGGAGCATATGTCCTTTTTCTGCATCGCCTTACTCACATCGGAATCAGTCATGTGGGCGATGAGGTGATCGCGGATCCGTTCTGACGGCTTGTCGAAACGGCATCTCGCCACGACAGAGTGGAGTCGGCTTGAGAACGTGGCTACGGATTCGCCGGTAAGCTGGCGGAGACGAGCGAACTGTGCCCGTTCGTGGATAACATTGTCCACAGGTGCAAAGTATTTGTCGAAAGCATCGACCACTTTGTCGAATTTGTCCTTGCCGGAGGCTTGGGCGAGGACAACCGACCACTTTGTCGAATTTGTCCTTGCCGGAGGCTTGGGCGAGGACAACTCACGCTGGAAGATATCATCCGCAGTTGGGCCCAGAGAGTAGATTAGAGTTGAGATTTGGACTTCCGCAGATTCGGAGGAGAGTTTGGTAGCAATCTGAAAGCGTGAGAAACGGCTTTTCCATCGGGGCCAATTCTCTGGTGCGGAAAAGTCGAAGCTTTCAGGGTGCTGAAATTTCGCCATGGCGAGCGGGTCCGGTGGTGAGGGTTCGGGGTACCAGTTCTGACACCAAGTGTTGCGTTACTGCAACAGCACTAAGGGTAAATGCCCATGCACACTCTCTCAGTCCAACACAACCATCACACTCCGGTAGGAATTACAAACTATACTTGATGAAGACAGAAGGAGAAGTGAAGAACACAGGCAACAGAGCAGGCATGTAAACAGCACAGGCACGCAACAGTTACCGCTGGTGCATGCGAGGTGCATGTGCGTACGTGACGGTGTGAAATAGGAAGCGGGGTCAAATTACATATGGATGCACTATGCCAAATATATAGGCATAGGTAGGTGACTGTACAGTTTTGTGTTGACATACATACCGTAGTGTATCGGGCCTGTCGGCACACAGGCCTGCTTTTAGTGTTGACATACATAGAAATACCTGTCTTGTATAGAAGCCTGTCTCATGTAGAAGCCTGCAAAATTTCCCCCAAAAAGTCATATAAGCCGCGGTCTTTACACGCGACTTTACGGTACTGGGAAGTACCTAGCTTGAACAAATAGAAACGTGTGTGTGTGTGTGTGCGAGCGGGTGCACTTGTGTGTGTGTGTGTGTGTGTGTGTGTGTGTGTGTGTGTGTGTTTGTAAATTATTCACTGCCAACTGGTGTGCATGACTGTACAGGTTGCTTGCTGACGTACATCCGCAATCATCCCGAGCTTCAGGATCGGCCCGATGTCCTGATCGACATGACGCTGCAGATCTGTGGCGCCATGAAGTTCTTGGAGACCAGCAAGTTTATTCACCGGGACTTGGTGAGCCTAGAGCGATGACGCCGATGAGATCGTGTGTGCGACTTATTACTCTTGTTACAAGGTTTAGCAATAAGTACTCCGAGTACTCGTAGATAAGCCCTCATTTATTAGATTTTAACGTTATCTATGCATTTGTGAGGGGGGGGGGTGCTAAACCATGCTTCAATTGGACGGTAGGGATGGAGAACATTGGTTTGTCCCTTATCATTATCGTATTGTATTCATCGCTTGGGACGAATGCTTGAAGCACTTTATTGGGGTTACATTGAATTGTCAATTGTCTTATAACTCAGCACAGAATGATACTGTTTGAACCCGCCAGCAGCATTATGCTCAGCGCCAGCACCGGGAACAGCTATTAAACACCACCCCCGGCACCAGTCCCGATTACCTTCGACGTTCCTTCCCGTACTGTTTCCTTGAAATGTGGAACAGTCTCCCCGAAGACGTCTTTCCCCGTCTGGCCAATCACTCTCCACTCACAGCTTTAAAAAAAGGTGTCAACAAACACATCTCAGACTAGCCATGGTCTTGGGACGTGCTTTGAAGCCCATCATGCTGATCGTGTCACTGTTCTTTCCAGATCGCACCTCTCGGTTTGGGGATGTGCATTGAAGCACCCCCTACTAACGGTCTATACTGTTCTCTCTTGGTCACCACTCTCCCAGCTATTACCTATATTGTACATGAAAACCAGAGTGTGCAGCTTGGGCCTTGGGGCCTTTTCTGCTATGGGTGTCTGTCACGGCGGAATTCCGTGATTACATCATATTTGGCGCAGATCTGAGGCGGGAAATGGCGTAGTGCGTACAACTAAGCTGCAGTTGTGCAGAAAGAGACCTGCTTGAATCCTGCTTGTACGCACTACATCACTAAAATGATGTAATCACGGAATTCCGCCGTGACAGCAACCCATCCGAGCTGCACACTCTGGTTTTCATGTACTCTTCCTATTACCTTTATTGTAATTACTATTCATGTATTGCGCTTCAGATTTTCTTCCGTTTCTGTCTTTTGGTGCGTTACCGGCATGGCGATACTGAGACCTATTGGTCGGTGGAGTGCCTGTAGCCTCACCAGCACTGCTACTATCTGTGACTGTGGCGACCACCATTCAATGTCTCGTCCTCCTCTAACCGTACCCCAACTCTCTCTAGTGTTCGGTGTGTGTGTGTGTGTGCGTGTGTGTGTGTGTGTGCGCGCGCGCGCGTGTACGCGCGTGTGTGTGTGTGTACGTGTGTGTGTGCTTTCTCTTGCCCCCCAGGCTGCTCGTAATTGTCTGATCGGTGAAAGATACCAGGTGAAAGTGGGTGACTTTGGACTGGCAAGGCAAGTAGAAATAGGAGTGACCTAGGGGACAAACGGGTGTACCTTTAACTAACCTAACGGGTAATTTTCTTAGCAGGCGGGTTAACGGTGCACTTTAGCAGCCATGTTTAGTTTTTGTACAATTCTCTAATTTTTATCTTTTCTCGAACTCAGATTGCATCTTGATATCACAAAGTCATTATGATTTGCAAATTGATTTGTGCCTCATGTAATTGCTACTGAAGTTCCAAATGAATGCTATCTGTTCACCTGCCCATGGAAAATGGGTACCAGGTAACACCTTCACAGGCAGTAACAATGATTTGACAAGGACACGGATCATCGAAATCCGAACGGGTACCTTTGACTATTGGTACCTGAGATTAACGGACGGGTACCCGGTGCACCCCGTTGAGCCCTACATAGGACTGCTTCGGAATTGCCACTTCTTTCCATCAGCAGTCGTAGTGGCCCGTTATCCTGTCATCAGAATGTGGCGGGGGATGTTTCACCTCACGGACACTCTCCGGCCATGTATTGATGTGCAGTGGTGGAGAATGACAACTGGCCTCGTGACTAGAGCAGAGTCGCACTCACTCCACAGCCCAGTCCCCAACAAATATTCCGCATTCTCTGTGAGAACGTTAGGTCTGCCACTGCTATGGTGACCAGTCCATAAATGACGGTGGTGGTGTTACTCTACTGTGTGCGTGTGTGTGTGTGTGTGCGTGCGTGTGTGTGCGTGTGTGTGTGTGTGTGTGCGTGTGTGTGCGTGTGTGTGGCACTGTATACGCAGATACGTACTGGACGACGAGTACACGGCATCCGAAGGCACCAAGTTCCCAATCAAGTGGGCAGCGCCGGAGGTGATCAGCTTCGCCAAGTTCAGCAGCAAGTCGGACGTTTGGTCTTTCGGTATGTGACATGTGCACATGGGCCGCTGCATTTAGGTGTAGTAATCTGTGGAATCAATCATTGATCATGAAGCTGGTAATGGGGGGGGGGGGGGGGCAGTTCCACCTGCAGGAAAGTTGTGTGTGTGTGTGTGGGGGGGGGGGGGGGTGCTTGTTATCCGAGTATCGTGGTCAAATTGTGTTCTACCTTGTGGTTTGTGCTGTTACAGGCGTGCTGGTATGGGAGCTATTCAGTTCGGGCAAGCAGCCTTATCCGACGTTCAGCAATTCACAGGTTCTTGATGAAGTAAGTACATGTACTCATCATTGCTTTGGTAAGCAGGCGCTCTCAGTCTGGACGCTCGCGCGCATGTGTGTGTGTGTGTGTGTGTGTGTGTGTGTGTGTGTGTGTGTGTGTGTGTGTGTGTGTGTACTATGTATGCCTGCCCACGTATGTCTGCTGGTCAGATGTCATTTAAACCAAAGGCAATGCCAGTGGGATAAACAGATGTTTGCTTTTTCATGTGCCTAATAATATTGTCTTTTTTGTCTTCAGGTACTGCGCGGTTATCGACTGGAGCGTCCACAGCGGTGTCCCCCGGAGGTGTACGAAATTGTCAGCACCACATGGCACAAGGTGAGCGTAACTTGCAGGCAAAGACGTGTACTTGCTACGGCTCAAATGAGAACTAAAGAATGTTTTCTAGATGTCCACCCACGGCAGACAGTGCATGGACTTGGAAGTACGAAAGTAGAGTGAAGTTGCAGTGTGTTATTTGACCGTCCACACCCTGCAGAGGGCCGAACACGGGGAGTACGGATAATAGAGATTCTACTGTACTACAGGACAAAGGCAATCAAACTTTGATCCAACCAGGAATGAATACTTCCAAGTATGAGTCTATGTGAATTGCCATAATCGATATTTTTTGTTGGTGGAAAACATACCAGCACATGAAGCCACTGGAAATTTCACACCGTTACCCTTCAAAGAGTAATGGTGCTTTATAATAGGCTTCACTGAAATTTCCAGTGACATTATGTGCTTTATGTGCTATTACTGCAATCACTTTAGACATTGGGGGGGGGGGGGGGGGCTTTGCATAGAGCTGCAATCACTTTAGACATGGGGGGGGGGGGCTATAGAGCTGCAATCACTTTAGACATGGGGGGGGGGGGGGGGCTTTGCATAGAGCTGGGGGCTCCATATTGGGACGCGCACGTTGGGCGCAGTGATGTTTGATAGTTTGCGGCCCAGCATTGCAACTTGTTGTGTTTTGCTGCCTGCACTGTCCAGGACTTGGAAGAGCGGCCCTCCTTCGATGCGCTCTACGGCCAACTGCAGCTGCTGGGAGATGACTACATGGATGCCAATTCGTGAGAGGCAGGCGAGTCGGCACCGACAGCCAGGAACGCATGACACGTTGTTGTTTCTTTCACCGATCAACGACGTCCTGTTTTCGACCTTCCCAGCTCTGCCGCCGTCACCCAGCGCCAAATTAGAATTCACCCCCTTGTCCAAAGTGGCTTGATGTGTCGTCCACCTCCCCGATATTACTCCCCTCTGTCATATTTATCCTCAAAACGACGAGAGATCCTGTGCGCACGCGCGTGTTTTGCTCGAAGGCTCCGCCGTCAGCGTGGGCACTGCTGCACCGGACGACGCACTTCACTGTTAACGGATCCCCCTCTCGACAGTGTGCGTGCGTGCGTATGCGGTGTGTGTGTGTGTACACATGTGTGTGATACCATGACATATAACGCAGCCAAGGGACACAGGAGAGGTGTCGCCGGTAATGTCGTCTTTGATCGCGAGTAGCAACTAACTTTGACTAACAGTGGACGCGCTCTCTTACTTTGCACACTTCACATCATGACTGTCGAGACTGCCAGTGTGTGTTTGCGCATTTTGATGTACATGTACAATGTAGGATTTCTGTTGACATCAGGAGATACCTTCCAGTTTGTTTATGCCAGCACTCCCCTAGTTCATGTAAATATATCCTAAAAAGGAGTGCATATCGGAGTCCGGGTTTATTTCGATTAGGTCTTTTGCTTCCTTGTTCAGTCTTTTTCTTTAAAAAAAAAAATGTTAGGCATCAGCCGATTTGGACAATGTACATGAGGAGCCAAAGTGTTTAGACTTGCAACCTTTCGTCATACTTAACAATATCGTGCGTATGTACGCCTCTCTCTCTTTCTCTGCGTGTGCGTGTATGTGTGTGCGCGCGTCCGTGCTTTCAAATTATAATCAGTTCAACTGGCAGACATGTTTTATTTTCCGAACTGATGATCGCTAGTATTTTCTTAAAACGGTATTGATCTTTCCTGCTCGTTTATTGTACTTTTGAAGGGGCTAAAATAGCCAAAGCCGAACATTGCGCTTGTATCGTGTATGCGTATGTGGGTTGGGAAGCAGAGGCCGTTAGAACTACTGCAAGCGAAGTGTGCTTTCTTGAGATACGCTCGATCCCCGTCGGTCATGGTGCGTTCAGACAAGCCACCGCCCGGTGTCACATCTAGAACACTAGACTCTGCACACGTGCAACTCTGTACAGTAGTCAGCAGTTCCATTGAACAAGACAGCAGCAGCAGCAGCAGCTTGAAGATAATGTCAGGCATAACTGATAAGTCGGATATAATTATAGTTATAGACAACAAAGAGTCAAAATGAACCAGCCACATGACTACACATCTAGTAGAAGACAACCGGGAGAGATATTTCCAGTTGGCCCTAGAAAACAATAATAATAATTAGTATTATCTACAGCTGGAAAAGTGGAAATGCACACATAACAGGAGACGGGACTCTGTGCATGCAATGCAATGCGAAAGAGCTTTTGGAAATACTTCAAGCAGTCGTAAAACAGCACAAGGATGTGCCGCAGCGCGAACAACAGCGCGCAAGGCAGTACAATAGAACAGTGCTGGCGGTTGGCTTGGTCCAGCCAGGTGTGCACTGCACGTGCTGACCATCTAGGTCTTTGTGCATTTCGGCGAGTCTCGAAGCACACAGATCAGAGTGTGAAGCTATCTGGATGGAACACAGGTAGCCTACACATACCATTGTAAGTTCCTCACAGCCGATGAGCACAGTTGATACTGGCCAAGCACTATTGCCGTCTACACTTAGACGGATAAAACCAGGCGCCACTGTCCAAGCGCTGGCTGCCAGATTACAATATTTCGAAATGGTGAGGGACTGCTTGGTTCAAGTTGCAAGAGAAGGAGAGAGAGAGAGAGAGAGAGAGAGAGAGAGAGAGAGAGAGAGAGAGAGAGAGAGAGAGAGAGAAAGAGAGAGAGAGAGAGCTGGACTAGCTGCAGATCGTCTGCGTTGTGACCATGTTGCCTATTTTCTGTGTTACTACTCGACATCGCTCACCACCTGCAGATTACCAACCAAACACACGGAAACGCAAAAAGTGAAACAGGTACACAGGTCTAGAAGTACCAAAGCGTTTGTTAAAGCATCGCAACCCCTGTAAAGTCAGGAATCCCCTGCAACACGTTACGCTACTTTCAACCAAGATATTGAAAATCTTCAGCATACCTACACATGCAATGGTAGTACAGCAAAACTTCAGCAAAAGAATAATAAGAATAATGTACTAGACGGCCATGTGCCATAAACATCGGTCCTCATAGCCGAGGTACTGTACACGTGCCTGATCCACCAGGGTCGGAGTAAACATGCGGACTGCAGCTAGCAACATGCAACAGACAAGAATACTGTCTACATGTGCGTGGCAACTGGCACTCGGTCCCATTCCTGGCTATAAACTTGCAAGAATGCACCTGGTGGACAGTTTACTATGACTGTACACTGTACAGTGTATTAATACAGGTACCGATAGTGTGCAGTGTATTACTACAGGTACCGATAGTGTACAGTGTGCAGTGTATTACTACAGGTACCTGTAATACAATCAGGTTCAGTGTACAGAGTCAGTGAGTGCGTTCGATTATGCACGCGAATCGATTCACGAATCGATTCATGAATCGATTCGCGCTATTCACATCACCCCATATGAATAGGGTGAATGGATTCCAGGGCTTATGACATGAAAATCGAACGACTTGAATCCATGCGAATGGATTCATGAATCGATTCAAGTGCATAATCGAACACAGCCAGTGTATTCCAGGTGCAGTACCAGTACTTGTTGCTGGTTGGACAACAGTGTACAGAGTGTATTATAGGTGCAGTACTTGCCTTGTTGCTGATTGGACGCTTCGAAGTACTGGTGTCCATGCCCACCTCCGCCATGATGGAACATATCATCGCCAGCGAACATGTCCTCAAACCCAAAGTCATCGAACATGCCGCCGCCGCCTCCGCCACCACCACCGCCTCCGCCATGGAACGCATGGTAGTCCTGCATGCCGTCGTCGGCAAAGAACATGTGATCGTGGCCGCCACCACCAGCACCAGCACCAGCACCTGGGCCATGCATGAAGTCCGAGTCAAACTGGAATTGCATGTGCTCATCCTGCTCGTGGTGAGCATGGCCATGTCCGAACGGTTGCTCGAAGAACATGTTCGGTCCACCACCACCACCGCCGGCGAAGAAATCGTCGAACGGGGAGCCACCGCCGCCAAAAATGTCATCGAACTGGAAGCTGAAGCCTTCGCCGTTGAAGCCACCGCCTGGACCGCCGCCGCCAAAGCCGTTATTGTCGTTTAGTCCGGCCTCTCCATACTTATCATAGCGCTGCCTCTTGTCTTTGTCGCCTAGCACTTCATACGCTGGACAAACACCAAGTCAGATAGTGGCAGTTTGTCTACGATTCATTCAGTGCAGTGTACATGCATGCCCGGCTCTACTATGCTCATTATCCATTCAAAAGGTGACACAACCAGTTGGAGAACAGTGACAAGCAGGTCGGCACATTGAGACAGAGAAAAGGTGAATGGATGCGAATGAAGGACTCATTTATATGGTCAAACCTTCACCCCCCCCCCCCCTCACAGCACAGAAAGCTGGTACAGTCAGACCTCGCTTATCCGGTCCTCTTTTATCCGGATCCCTCACCATCCAGGAGAAAATAGCTGGTTACAGATTTACAGCATACAGGATGCATCCAACATAACCGGTGTCTGACTGTATTTTTGGACAACAGGTGGTCCCTTGTTGCATTGGCCGCTTAATTAACATGGGTACAACACCGTAAAAGTCCGTAAATAAGTACCTGCCCGAAATAAATATCCCCTTCATTCTTTTGGCTCTGTCTGTTGAAGTCAAGTCAAGTCCGATAAACATACTGCCCGAAATAAGTACCCGTACGATGCGCACACGCAGCACGTAGCATGTACATTTACATGAAAATGACTTCTCCACTACACACAAGTCAGGTCCGAAAGTTAGTTCGTGCCCGAAAGTCAGTACCCGCCCGAAAGTTAGTACGGGTGTGGTCACTAATTCGAAAGTAAATACGTACTTATTTACGGACTTTTACGGTAGCACAATATGGTACTCAAGCCAGTGCCGGGAGAGCAAAATCGACTCACAAGTATCATCACTGGTGCATACATTGTACGAGCAGAGTTGCGGCTGCCTTGGCCCTGTGACCACCCTGGCACATTGACAATGACATGCTACAAATCAGCAGTCATGATTTTTCCTGCCATCATGTAAGGGCCTGGTAGGGAGTCGCATTCGTCGCGTCCCTCCTAGGGAGACAACACGAGACTATAGTATGCGAAATGATGTGTGTTTGAAGCTTTTTAAACACAGATAAAGATATTCTACGCGATCGCTACCAAAGCTCCACTGTCACCAGGCGCGGCACAGACCACCGGTGCATCTGGAACCCTACACGAGCAGCCAAAGCCATGCCATTTCACGTTCCACCCACCCACGCCGTCTCTCCAGAAAGGCCCAGATGGTACGGTTCCCTGATTTCCGCAAACATACACACTTGCCGACATGCCGCCGTGGTCATGTGCACAGCAGTACATGTATCCGTCAGAACAGTATGAGATTCATCACCCCATTCAGATTTCTTGCACTGTATCACGAGCAAGCACTATCTTGCCAATCACTATTGATGCCTCAAGTTTATACAAGAGAGAAAGACCAAGGAACTACAAGTTACGCTATACTGTCCACTAACACCACCAGTTACTAAACAATCAGCTCATGCGATAACATTGCACGACACTGACCGACGGTAAAACGTCAGTACCGACGGTAAAACGTCAGTACCGACGGTAGAACGTCAGTACCGTCGGTCAGTGTCGTGCAATGTTATCGCATGAGCTGATTGTTTAGTAACTGGTGGTGTTAGTGGACAGTATAGCGTAACTTGTAGTTCCTTGGTCTTTCTCTTTTGTATAAATTAAACCTTGGCTCTCCATCTGAGTCCATTGATGCCTCAAGTCTTCAAATTATAACTCTCACCTTCAGCAATAGCCAACCATCGCTGATCTGCTCCCTTTTCTTTATTCTTGTCTGGGTGGTATTTCAATGCGAGCTTGCGATATGCACGCCTAATCTCCGAGCTGCTCGCATCTTTCTTTACACCCAGGACTTTGTAGAAGTCTTTCGGAGGGGATTTCTTTCCATCCACAGCAGTGTGACTGTCGAAGACGTTGCTTATTACTAGTACTAGCAATGCCAGTAGGATTGGGCGTCTAAGTGCCATGCCTCGACAGGCCATAATTACAATTAGAATGGATCGACCGTGACATCGATGAAGACAACTTGCTAGTTTCGAGTCGAGTTGTTCAATAACCAACTGCAGCAATCACCACTGCATTGTACAGCAAAGTACAAAATTAGCGTTGAGAATGTTTCGATTAATTTTGTATTTCCAAATGGTGAAGGAAAACAATCACCCAAAGGCCAAACCAATCTAGATACGAGACGTACTTCAACAACACGTCAGCTTTCCAACAAATGAATTGTTTCTTCGAACTGGTCATGATTAACACTTGACAGATGGCAGATGCAGGCTGCTTATGCATGCTGCATGCTCGTCAACCAGCATTGTTATGCGAGAGTACTTGTAGAATCTGGTGCTGAGTCTGTGCGTGGGGACACCAGTCCTGATGATGGTGTGTACAGATACTACAGACTCAGTATAGTTACTGTTTGCTTCCTTCAGCACATCGGACTGTTTGCATGGTTTGGGGAGGAAGGCAAGTCTGTCTGATCTGAATAGAAAATTGATGAAGCTCGAAGAAATGCGACGAAAAAACACGGAAGAAATCATGCACAATCCCTGTAAAAAGTTTCTAAAAAAAGAAGAAAAAAGCTGCCGAGTGCTGTGACCAGGATTCGAACCTGGGTTACTACGGCCACAACGTAGGGTCCTAACCACTAGACGATCACAGCATGCTAAACTGGCAGCTACAGATGTACGCCTCTCCTTCTGATATTATGTGGTCAGTCTTGTACTTGTAGTGACATCATCATGGGCATGATGTATGCAGCATGGGGGGGATATGGGCTCTCTGGTCTGGATGAGTGGATATCAGGCTAGCTCGACCGTTGCGCAATGGAAATCTCTGGACTGCAGTCACTGCACGCAGCGGCCACGCACAATCGAGTCGCAGCCCTAGCCAGAAGAAAAACGTGCGTGATCGATCTCTCCGGTGGTGAAAATTTTCAATCTTACTTCGCTGTAGAATTTTGTATTTCTTACTATTTTTAGTTATAGTTTCGTAGGATTTTCTGGTCGAGTGGGCGAGTATGTCGTTCCTCTTCGGGAACGCCTTCAAGGGAGCTCCCCAAGATGGAGCAGCAATGCCGGGAGGGCCTCCTCCCGCAGCTGGAGATGATGCAAACAAACCACAGCCTCCAAAAAAACAGGAAATTCCTGGAGTGCCTGGATCTTTCGCCAACTTCGATCCCAGTGGCTTGGAGCGTGCTGCCAAAGCAATGAAGGAGCTAAATCAGTCCAGTAAGCATTGCGTTTCCTACTGTGGCTTTGTGAACTTTTCTTTGATTATTTCGTCAACGGCAAACCTGAATAAACACGAGTATGAAACACACACACACACACACACACACACACACACACACACACACACACACACACACACACACACACACACACACACACACACACACACACACACACACACACACACACACACACACACACACACACACACACACACACACACACACACACACACACACACACACACACACACACACACACACACCTGTCCTGTCCTGTCCTGTTGACCCACTGCTGTAAAGGTTACGTGGTCCCATTGCGGGAGGAGGGAGAGGAGCAAACACGCTGGTGCCAGGTCAGGTCCCTGGACTGCCGAAATCTCCGAGAGCAGTGCTGACACACACACACACACACACACACACACACACACACACACACACACACACACACGCACACACACACACACACACACACACACCTTGACCTTGACATACAGCTGCCGTTAAACGGCTAAGCTGCCCTCATGAGGAGGGGAACAAAGGGGTAGCATCACAGCTTCGCGGCAGAATATCCGGCCTCATGCCGTTGTAGATCCTGCTGCCTGCGATATCTCTCGCCGCACGCACAGCAGAACTTGAACTCAAGACGCTCTCTCGCTGTTGGTCGCTTGCCACGCTCGCAATTGTGCCATTAAAATCCACCAGCAGATCGAAAGCACCGGTCACATGACGTGCAGTGGAATGAGCAACAATGTTGGTGTTGAAGCACTAGGCGAGGTGCAGGATCGACAGAGTCCGATGGCTGTTGGGAGGAACCTGCGAGAGGGCACTTATGTACCTTCAGCCCACCAGCACCCTTGAACCATCTACCACAACGTTGACACGACTTTGCACCAGGCTGTTGGCTGACAGGAAGTTGACGGGCCGCACTGCACTTATGCCGCTTGTACCCAGACGCACTAAGATGGCGATCGCAAACACTGCAGTGCACAGTGGGCTTAGACGGTAGTGGTGGTGGCACAACATCAACGACACTCGATCTCCACAAAGGTCGATCCTGGCCTGTTGTACACCATGGTGTATCCAAGGAGCGTAGGTCGTGATGAACACGGTCCTTGAGCCGAAGGCGTGGACCTTCTGCTGGACGAGCCTTGGCAAACCATCCAAACAACAACTGTTTAGGTTGCCTGGTATCCGGCATACGTGCAATATGTCCAAGCCACTCCATGCGCCGCTTGCGGATGCAGGTGGATACCGTATTTCCGCGCATATAAAGCCATGGCGTTATATCCGAATATAAGGCCACCCTCACTTATAAAGCCATGGCGTTATAAGTGAACAAAATTCAATGTGGAGGAAGTTGCATCCGGCGTTAAAGGTGAGTTCAATTCTTTCAGTGAACCTACAGTAGCGGTGATTCTCTCTACATGTACCCATCCCCACTGTCACATGCCATACCGCCACTGCACCTTCACACAAGTTTGTATGCCACCTTGTACACAATAGGTTCACAATTTGAAATTTTCAGGGAAAATTGAAAGTATATGGATGCTCGACATGAACGTGCAACGGCACCATACGAGTACTCGAAGTTCATACTCTGCCGATTTTTCATGTAAGCGTCTCACTTTTAGCGCCATGGCGTTAAAACCGAGGCTATTTTCTCCAAAATTTTGGTCCAAAACAGCGATGTTTCACCTATAACGCCATGGCTTTATATGCGCGGAAATACGGTAACAACTCTGGCTTTCCCCATCTTCGCCTCAACTCTTCATTGGTCACCGAATCTGACTGTTGATCTCGCCGAGACACACCCAAGATGATGCGCAAGCAAGAGTGGTGAAAACCATCAATGCGGAATTCGTCACGCCACAGGACTGGCCAACACCACACACACACAGACACACACACACACACACACACACACACGCACGCACACACACACACACACACACACACACACACACACACACACACACACACACACACATGCATACACATACAAGTATAATGTTTGTTTGGTGTTTATTGTTGTACTTTTTTTTGATATGGCCATGGGCTGGGGTATTTATGGTGCCTTTCATGCAGACGTATTTGTTGGAAACGTTTCGAAACCTAACCGTAACTTGCCTTAGCAAGTATTGGCAACGCTCATCCATCATGACAGCTGGCACGCATATCCGACACTGGATAATGTATTCGTTGAATGCGTGTAGACTCTCAGAAATGGGTTTGGAACTCTTCGAAGTTCTTCACATCACGTCCGTGTAAATGTAGCCTCAGGCATTACAACGTGTAATGTATCTGAAAGAGGCAGCCAATCTGTATGCCTGATGCGTGAAGTTATCACCAGACAGTACAATGTGACAATACTGTAGTGTGGATTGACTATGGATGATGCACACATTTATTTCAGGTTCTCAACACTATGCAGATTGAAATTAGAATTAGAATAGCAGTGAAGAGACCGTTTTTGGAGTTTGGAGTTGAGAAGTGAAGTTTCTTAAATGTGTAAATGGCTGCGTTGGAGTTTGCCGACAATTAGACAAAATGCTCACTACTAGCACTAACTTAGGGGCCGTCCGGGGTTACCGATTGTTTTTACAAAACG